CCGGCAGCAGCTTGCTTATATTCGCGGGCCGATGCTGGGGTTTGGGTTTTGGTCTTGGTGGAGGATTGGTGGGTGCAGCCAGAGTCACTAGTTTTGTGAAAGATGAGGGCCCACTCAAGATTCTAAAAGGCAAGTGCAGAGTGCTTTAGATCCGTACCCGAGGGTGCGGTGTTCCACACAATTCCGCATTCCCAGTTCCGAAAAGTCAAGCTCCGATCCTTGCTGCTTGGGTCTTGGCGCGATTTCCCATGGCGGAAAGCCGTGCAAAAGATGCTCCTGAGGCTAAAGTGCCGGCTGTGCTTGACCAAAGCCCAGACAAGGTTCGCAGGGGCACGGGCTTCGTGAGTGCGGCCGACCTACCCTCGGACGAGGAGCGTCGAAACGCGGGATGCAGAGAGACCGACAAGCGGTGTGAGCGCACGCGAACTGCAGGAGGAGGAGCCTGACTCCCAAAGACGTGTGGCCTTTGATCCCTCATCGCAGGCAAGTGCGGCGGTCGGGTGTTCCGGAACTGGGCCTGTCCCTCCCGCTCTTCTGTAAGGCTGGCACAGATGCTGGGCCAGCAGCCGCGCACCGAGCCATGTGCGATTCGTAGGCCAACAACTTCAACAGCATGTGGGAAGTCTTGCGCCGAAAGATGAAGAGAGCCCGCATGCCGAAGCCACCATGGTTCGGGCGAAGCCGAGGTGCGGCGCGGCACCGGTTTCGTCGGCATGGCAGAGTTGCCTTCGGATGACGAGGAGGCCGCGCAAAGTCCAAAGAATGCTGCGAGCCAAAACACAGCCATTCGGCCGAGTTTTGCCTCCAGGACGACGAGCCTGCAGGACATCGCGTGGCCTTTGACCCCGGTACACAGGACGGGCACTCGGCTTGCAGAGTCTTCGAAAGATTGCTTTAAGAGGCGAGGTCAGGGCATCAGACTCAGCCGTATGACCCGGCAGGAAGGCAGCGGCGGGCTTGTGGCGCTGGCCTCAGTCAGTGCGAGCCAGCTGCGATGCGGCGCATACAGAATGCAGAGTGAGGCTCGCGTGAAAACCGGGGCTGTCATGACCCGCATGGAGGCCTGCCGCATCCTGCCGCCTTGAAAAAAAGAATATGAAACAGCCATGGCATGCGTGGTCAGGGGCCCGACTCACCGCAGGCCACGTGGCTGTTTGGACCTGCTTTAATTGCCATTCAGACCGGCTCGTCCCGCGTGTTTCAATGTGGTGCAGTCTCCCTGGGTCTGCACTCAAAACCTGTGCAGCGCAGGGCCACGGACGTCTCCAGGCGCCTGCGGATCAGCTTCTCGGAGTCCCGGGAGCAGTGGGAGAGCACTCGGAGAGCAGTCGGAGGTCAAGCAGAAGACCAATCGCTTGGCATCGGGTGACCTGGCGCAGCTCTCCTCCGACGAAGAGGCGCCGGGGCTTTCGCGACATGCCGCGAAAACGCGTCTTGGGGTTTTCGCGACATCTCTTGCGATGTTCGTTGCAGGCATGAGGCTTTATATGCTGGAGTTTCTGCCAAAGGCAGACAAGACTTTCAAGACACAGTACTGACAAGCGAAGGTGGATGCCATTGGCGAGCTCGCGCCGGCAGGGCCTGCAGGCAATCTCGAGGCCGGACTGCACTCGTAGATCTGATCCACATGGTCAGCAAACGGCTCTGCTGCGAACCCGCGACAAAAAAAGTCTCCGCCCCCAGAGGCGGCTGGGCTGCAGCTTTGATAGCGATGAGGCATACTGTTTCTTGTGGTGGGAAGGATGAGAAGCCGCAAGTCCCGGCGACGAGCACCAAGGCGCACACTTCTTGTGAAGTCGGAATACTTTGCCGGTAAGGGGAGATTCCAGGGCCACCCAGCTGATCAGGGAAGGGCTGGACTTGGCACGCGTCTGTGCGAGGTTCTGTCTCTGTGTGAAACATATCTGCTGGTGTGTGTGTGTGTGTGTTTTTTTCTCTCTCTCTCTCTCTCTGTGTTGCTGTCCAGGCCGGCACTGAAGTCGAGCCTACGATCCTCAACAACGTCGTCGACGGTGAAGGACAGAATGACGAGGTGCAAGGCAAGAAGCCAACGAGCCAGCCACCAGATGCGAAGGCACGGAGTCAGAGATCCTTTGTTCATCACAGGACAAGTGCCAACACCCGTGAGAATAAGCTGCCTAAGCGAAACAGAACTGACTCAGAACTTCAGAAGCTGCACATGTCTTCCGCGGATGGCGTGGCGTTTTTGGAACCCCCCCCCTCCCGGTCCCGGTGACTTGGGAAACCCAGTTCTTGCACTCCTTTGCAAGCTGCCAGACTGCTACTCTCAGCCTGCTCGTAGTGCCTCGCTTCGGTCGCATTAGACGGTTGCGGTGAAGTTATTCATACCGGTAGATGAGCCGCAGATATCATCTGGTTTGGCATGGGTTGTCTTAAGCTTGTCCCCCCCCTCACACTTGTGAAGACATGTGAAGACCTGAGTCTTGAAGAGCTTCAGACAGCTAGCTTGTCGCCGTGCGTCCGAACCGTATTTGACGTCTGGTAGTTCAGCTGGAGGCTCAGTTTCACTGGGGTCGCGTCAAGAGACAACTCCAGAAGGGAAAAGATTCTGTCGAACTTGGAGAACCATATCCAATCCCCATTCGAGGTGTCGCCGGTTCCGTGCGGGAAAACCGAACCTCCAGCCTCATAGCCGCTGTGTTCCAGGCCTTTGTCCAGTGCCCTTGCAGGCCGACGTCCAGGCCACATCAGGCATCGCGAATCCAGAGCCAGAGTACATCGAGGCGCTTGCTGACGAGATAGAAAATTCGCAGAAGCAGCAGAAGAAGCAGCGCGGCATCCAGTTCATCCGACCGCTGAGATGTCCACCCATGTGCAGGACTTCGAAGATGATTTCGAATCGGACTCTGAAGGCCACCTGTACGTGTGATACTTTCATGTTTTCCCTGTGCATCGCAAGCTCATCGAGAGGAACTGTTCAGAAGGGATCCTGGCTTGCCAGGATATTCGTTCCCATCACCCACGAGCCGGTCTCCCACGCTGGTGGGCCAGCGTTGCATCTGAGTCTGCTCGGATCGCTGTCCACGAAAAATCGCATTGGCATGCAGCATACCTGTTCGCAGTCTTTCTGGTAGACTCAACAAATTCGAGCTGAGCTTTATCCTGTGGGCATCCACGCGTTCTCAGCTCCTCCTTGACGCCCTCGAGCGCGGCCTCTCTCTGCGCCACTGTTTTTCTGTCCCCCGGTCTGTCCCTCCCCTCCCTCCCTCCCTCCCTCCCTCCCTCCCTCCCTTTTGCTCTCCGTTGCTAGCCGGTGACCCGGGGCAGCGACTTTGCTCCGGCTTGGCGGTCTCAGCTCCCTTTGGGTTCCTGCATTCTTGGCCTCTCCGTGGTTTAGGTGGCCTAAGCCTTAAGCTGCTCAGGACTGCTTCTTTCATTGCACATAGAGCCTGTCCGTGACAGTTTGGCGATAATGCCGCGGAGAGTGACGACGACGACGCCGCAGGACTGACCGGGACGTTTGGATGCAGCATGATGCATGATAGATGGAGAGGGTTGTATGTTGCCCCGAAGGCTAGATGTTGGTCACCATTCCTTCTGAAGCGTGTTCATGATCGGCTCCTGGCTGTGATGCTTCTTGCCACGGATGAACGTCCGTCTGTACTTGTGGTAACTTTAGTGAGCACAACTTCAACTTTAAAGTCTGGTTTCAGCGTTATGTTTCACAGCTCAGCCATACAAGGCCACAGTGAGAAAGTGAGAGAGACAGCAAATTGCCGTCTCGCTCGTTCAGGGGCCTGGAGCTGGTGGTCGCACCCTCCAAAAGAAACTGATGCTGAGAAAAGAGCGAAGCATACCGAATCACTGGGTTCTTGTTAAGGGATTTAATTTAAGTTACCATAATAAGGAAACCATATTATTAACTATAGATCCCTATTATGGTAACTTAAATTAAATCCCTTAACAAGAACCCAGATCAACAGCGAGCCCCAGGCTGTGCATCGTGCCTAGCTTGGCCTCTCTCGGGATGGACTCCCGACAGAAGCATGTGCGACCAAGACGGGCGCCGTGTGACGTTTATATGAAGGTCTGAGTTTGCACCGTGGCCAGATGATCAGTCACAGCATCATGTGCTTTGATGCAGTAAGCTCGGTACAGTGTTGGCGGATGTTGGCAGTCTTTGCATCTGGTGCAGCCTTGAAGTAGGCTCTTCCACGGTGGCAGCTCCATGCGACAATGACCCGTGCACCTCAAAGAGGTAGTTGGTCAAACCATCATACGACTAACAAGGGGATCAGGTTGGCAAACGGACAAAAGTCCAAAGTCTTCGCTGCGTTTTGCAAAGGTGGTTGAACTATGAGACCTCGTCACCAAGCTTGCTCCGAAGCTTTGCACCCCATCAGCCAGGGACGGTGCAAGAGGCTGCTGTCAATAACGATGCGCGACCTCGCAGTGAGGCCAAAATTCGGGTACTTGTTATCCTAGCATCGAAGCCGAAGTGGGCTTTTTCACACGCTGTGTCAGGAACATGCGTTTATTCGCGGGTGTCACATGGACCCGAAGCCGTAGCATCCGAGAAAGTGCTGCAGATACATGCGTTGAGCGTCGTACACATTCTGCACAGTACATTACAGTCATGAGCTGGGAAGCCTGCAAGTAGTGCCTCGGTCGAAGCATTGGCAGCTGGCAGGCAACACCGATGCCGACGGCTGGCGCTTGCCGCGGTGCTGTAGCGAAATCTGCCATGCTCCGATACCATGCACTTGCTTGTGACCAGCGTGACAGCAGTGCGTTGTCCGTCAGAGTCAACGACTCTTTGTCCATCTCGTTTGGTCCAAGTTTGGCAAAAACTATGGAAAGCCTTGCCATCATGCCCTTCTCCCCCACAGCATATAAACTCGGATGCGCCTACCCCGATAATTGTCCGATTCACCAGTGCACCAGGGCTCTTCCTGAGATCACTCAGATCAAGAAGGGAACGACAGCGATGAAGTAAGGAGCGAACAGCGATACGATCAGCTTTAACGCAGAAACTTGGGACAACGTGGTGACAAACCAAGGAGCCACTAGCAGTATAGAGAGGTGAGCGGCCGTGTCTTATGGCTCTGAACCTGGGCTTTTTCCGCGACGCTTAGGAGAAAGGGATCTTTAACAGCTATATACAGCTTCAACCTCGAATAAGGAGAGTTCGCTTCACACGTCGGGGGCCGAGGAGGAACCACAGAAACTCAGAACACAAGGAGGAAGAGAGAGAAGAAGGACATAGAGATCAAGGACGGCGGAAGGATTGTAGAAACAAGATGGAATTCAAGGGTGAATCGAGTAACTAGCAAGGGAACGGGAGACGCAAGGCGGGAAATAACACAGCAAAAGGGAGTGATGGAAGGGAAAGGAGAGGTAAGGAGGAACTGGGGCGAAACACTCTGGAAACGAGGAAAACGGAGGGTAACCATGGCCGATGCAAGGGAAGCAGAGTGTCAGAGTGGTGTTGTTCTGTTCTCCGCGGAACTAGGGCATCTCAGACTATCATCATCAACGAATCACCCGCAAGACAGGGTGCCCTGCTACAGCTCCGATTCCATCGATCCAACCCTGACCAGTTTGATCATCGAGAGGGCACAGGACGTCAGGCTCTCTGTGCATGCGAGGACATGTCAAGGCGTGGGAGACTGGATCAACGGCGCAACGCAGTATGGTGGAGAGGGATGAAAATGAGGTATCGTGGCAAAGGTTGAAACAGGGTGCGAGCGGGGCACAATCGTTCGTGGCCAAGAGAGTTGCAGTTGGCTAGATCTCAATTGCTCGTAAAATCAAACCGAACCCGGCAAGTACATCTGACAAAGTTACCGAAGACTGCCTCTCATCCATCATGTTTCGAGCCAACTGTTGCATGTGGCCTATCCAGCACGTCGCTCCAGCTCGCCCATTGTGCGATCGATTCGAGCAATGCTTGACGCCAAGGCCTTGCAACGAGATGCTGGCAGCTGTGGAAAGCTCAGCTGGAGATTCTTCACATTTCTTGACTATGTTGTCGTCAGATACCCGTCATCAGCTGGACATCCCTCGTTTTTATTACGGTCGGCTGCTGCAGAGCTCTCATCTTTGCTATCTTCCTGCTCCAAGGTGCCCTACAATTCCCTGATGCAAGGGCCATAACTCCTCGGCGCAGCCCCAGCGTGCGAGTGCGGGGACGCCAAGTTGCTGCAAAGATCCACAGCTCTGCTGGCTCTGCTCCGTTTGGAGCCGAGGATCCACCGGCCTTTAAGCCCGGGCACCTCCGGAGTTGCCCGGAGCCTGGCCTGGTTTGGGTCGTTGCCATGTCCCATTTTTTTGGCGAAGAAGGGCTGTGTTTTCATTGTGGAAGGAAGGGACCAGACGCATGGAATGCAGTAGCTGCAGATCGGGCGAGTCTGCAGACGCGCTTCCGAGACCCGCTCAAATCGAAGGTTTGACAGCTCTCAGATCTAGTAGAAACCGAGGCGATCCACAGGTTCCCGCCCGCTGTGTGGTGACTTGGCAGCATTTCTCTACCAAGTACTAGTAGCCTTTGTTTTCACGACGTTCATGCAGTGCATGCTCAGAAGCCAAGGGCAGAACCCCCCAGTAAGAGCTGGTGCCGCACGCCGCCACCAGGGCCACTGGCCCAATCCAGGCGGGGGACTGGGTGTCGCACAGGCGTCTGGAAAAAGCCTGGCGAATCAGAACCAACCAAATGACAGTAGCTTCGCTTTCGATTTGACCGATGCGTCAGGCCATTATAGGCAGGGGACGCAGCTGCACACCATCGTGGACCCTGGCATCATGTTATCGTACAAGAGAACATGGGAATGTCCATCGTAATCTGGCCATAATCTCGGGCCTTTGATCAAGAGGAAGTGGTATGTAAAGAAGGGAAGTCACCAGCTTTGCTTGGCCCCTTTCTTGCATGGAGCGTGTGTTACAGTCTAAAGTTGTTACGACGGCAGGCCCCGTCCTCATATCCCGGAAGGTGGGAACCGCCGCTGCAAAGCTAAACTGTCTGAAGTGGTGGCCGTTCGTAGGTGGACTTCGGTGCAACTTGACATGAACCGTGAACCACGCATTCTGTGAGTGCGATCAACCGCAAAGTCTCGGATCACATGCATCTCGTTTATCGACATGGGAAGTGAGATCTCGAGCATGTCCAGCTAAGTGTAGGCAGTGCTTGGCACGCATGACCGTAGATGCCATCCCTCCGTCGCGTTCCGACTTGTGGATTATTCAAGCCATCCGTTGCAATGGAACCGGCGGCGAGACTTGGGCCCATCACCGTGCAACATCCGCCAGAACCAATGTTGCCAAGTGTAGGCTTCACCGATATGCCGAAAGAGAGTGCCGGACAGGACCCGGTGGCAAGCTACGGACTGATGTCCACTGCCGCCATGTCCGTAGCCACGGCAAGTGCTGCAGTCAGCCGGCGTGTGCGACGCACAGCACCAAGAGGCATTCGGCAAGGGCGGCCGCGCCAAGTTCTCGTCAGGAGCCACGACCATGAGGATCTCGAGCATGGCCATGACCATGACCACGAGCATTCACACAGCGTTGCCTCCGCAAAATCCCATGAAAGCGACGAACACGGGCATAGTCACGGCCACGAGCATGAACACAGCGTTGCCTCCGCAAAATCCCATGAAAGCGAAGAACACGGGCATAGTCACAGCCACAGCCACAGTGGCAGCCACTGCTGTCACAGTCATGAGACTGTGGTGGATCACGATCACGATCACGGGCATAGTTACGGTGGTGGTTGCTGTGGGCACGGGCACAGCCACGGAGAGGTTCCGGACTGGCTTCCGGGGGCGCCAGCACTTCGACGCCTCTCAGATCTGTCCAGAACGAAGGCGTCCGTCACCGTCGTGACCGTTGCCTTCGTGATGTCAGCCCTCTTAGCGTGTGTCAAGACGCCAGGCCTGGCCAAGTGGACAGAGTTGGCATCCAATCCTGACATTGCTCGGAACAGGCATCACGTCTCGAAGCCTTCGCTGCACGCTCAGAACATCAACGAAGTCTAAACCTGTTTGGTCAACCCGGTTGACCATGCGCAAGCAGCAAGCTGGTATCTGCCAGTGCCTGCCCAGAGTTCTCATGCTGTTGTTGATTCCGCGTGGCGAAGAAGTGGCCAGATGCTTCTGCTGAGGACTGGCAGGCCCAGTGCTGGTCTACATCGCACCTTGGCTCTCAACACTGTTGCAGGCGTTGCATGGCACATGTCAGTCGATGGGGTCGCGCAAGTTCTCAAGGATTCGGAAGTCCTTCGTCTGTATCTCCTCAGGTCTATGGTATACCAGCATTAGCGGGAGCCATGCAAAACGCAGTCGGCTCCTCGCTACATCCTTTTGTTCATGGCTCACCTTTTGATGTCATCACTGTAGCTGATTCCAAGGCCCAGCTCGACATCCACTTCCTGATGACCCTGGCTGCATTTGCGTCTGCAGCCTTAGCATGTTGAAGAGAACTCGCTATGCTTTGTGAAAGAATGCAGTGGTCCCTCACGGGAGCAGGCTTGGGTTTAGAGTGGACATGCTCTCATCATGCCCTTCTCAGATCAGCGAGACTGGGTCATAGTTTCCCACGCTAGGTGAGCCATTGTGAGCCTTTGGCCTAAACCAGGGCGCCTCGCCGGCTCACAAGTCATCTGCCGCATGAGCACATTTATTTCTACCAGGCTCTTGGAGCTACCAAAACAAATTCTCGAGCATTGCAGAGCTGTTGGTTCATGAGCGCGCTCATATGACTGCGCTCATATGACTGATACGGGTTGATGCTCGTGCTTTGTGTCTATCCAACGACAGAGACATGGTGCGAGTGTATGCATGCATTCGTGGACCCCTAATGCTCAATGGATTTCGCTGCAAAGCGCAGTCAGTATGTATGTATGTATGTATGTATGTATGTATGTATGTATGTATGTATATATATGTATAGTATTTTATATATATATATATATATATGATCCCGCGTCGCCGCGGTGGCCCCACCCGCACGCCCCCACCCCCCGGTATGCTCCCCCCCCCCCACCACAGCCCTGAGAGACTGGCCGGGCAAACTGTCACAGGGATGGCGCTCGTGCGCGTTATCATCCTCGTAACTGTCGACGTTCTGTTGGAACTCTCGCGCAACATCGCACAACCCGCCCGCCGCTCCCCACGCAGATGAGAATGATGATGATGATGATGATGATGCTGAGGACAATGACGATGATGTGCTTTGTGCATGCTGGCATTCCGCTGTGACTGTTGGCAGCACCACTGCTTTTATGCTGTTCTGCCCTTAGGTGCCGCATGTTCTTTGCTTGTACTTGAGTTGCAAAAGCTTGTTTGGCTCGATGTTCTTTCGTAGATGTTCGTAGGTTGTACCGACCGTTGTCATTCTATGCTCAGTTTCGGATGGGTGCGGTAAAAGTCAGCACGAGCATTTGCTTGAATAACTTTCATTCAGGAGTCTTGAGCAATGGGGAGGAGCTTGCGGACGGAGATCATCGAGGGAGGGACAGGGGGGGGAACCCATACCACACGGAACCACAGGGGGCCTAGCAGCGCTGCACCAAATATCCTTATATATATATATATATATCTATATATATATATATATTTTTATATGCCCTGGACATGGTGCTTCACCCGCCACACCAGAGCCCCGTCTTTTCAAAGGACAGGTAGTGGTGTCATTATCCCAAGAAGCCCTTCCAAGGGTCCCTCCAAAAGCCCCGGATGGATCTTGATGGATATGTCTTGAAGCCTCTGAGGTCAGTGGCCCTTGGCCACAGCATGGAGGTCAGCCCGCACAGAGGGCCTTTCGTATGATTGCTGTTCCTGTGCTAAAGCGTCGCTCTTTGAGGGCGCGCTGCTGCTGCTCCTCTTTGCTCTCTCCGAGGTTCTTGAGGTTCGGAAATCTTCGGAGTCTTGAGCCTTGCCTTGCCGGCCTTGCCTTGGCTCCGTCTGCAGTTCTGTTCTCTTGGCCTTCACTCCCTGGCTCGAGCTTTCAGCTTAGCCCAAGTCACGAAGAGAAGCGCAAGAAGCATGTCCAATGTCCAGGCAAAGCCTCAGCCAAGCCTCACGAAGTTAGAAGATCATGAAAAAACTGCTCTGCTCGCAGCAGCTGATGATGATCATGGCCGTTTGAAGAGCCTTTCGCAAGCCGGCAGAGGTTCGTGTGGAGCGCAGCTTCCATCACTTTGCCGATGGACGGCGAAATGCTTGATAATGCGACTCGACGGAATCTGGTCTAAACTAAGGCCGCCAATCCCAAATACTCAGTCGCATGTTATACTGTGGCCAGTGTAGTTATCGGTCAATGAAACTAATAGGTCATTTAGCTGTGAATCCTCTGGTTGGATGTGCACACGACTGAGATATCACGAGTCCTGACTCCGCCATGTGGCTTTTGGGCTCCTGTCCCAGGTTGGTGCAGCCAGCACTTTGATTGGAGCGATGGTGTTATTGATGTCCCTGACATACTTGACGAACAATTCCGACAAGGACGCCCAGCTTGCTGACCGCCCAGGTCGAGTTGAGTTTCGCCGGGTAGCCGGATTTGTCCTCTGCCTCCGCGAGCTTGTGTCGACTGTGTTCACAACATTTCACAACTCTAAAAGAGCCAGCCTGCTCAACTATGTCTTGCACCACAGGGAAGTTGCGTGATTTGCTCTGAAGGACATAAGACGGTACAGTTATGAAGTCATCAGTCAGACCATCGCGATCTTCTGTGCTGTACCTTGCATGTGCTGGCTGTTTTGTTCCTCTGATTTCACCTGCTACTGCTAACCCTAAACCCGAACAGAAAGTACTGTTGTGGCATGTGTAATGCTGTAGTTTTGACGGTAGTAATGCTAACCAGCCACAACAGCAAGGCCCTAAACGTTTTTGCCCTTTCTTCCGAGGTAATGATTTTCCAGTATGTGAATGACGTCACCGTGAAGGCTTCACAGATCTGCAGAGTCCTGGGGTTTAGATTTAGGGCTTAGGGTGGATCACGGTGGATCTTTCCTGGTCAGGTTGTGAATGTCTTCGGCCTTCAACAGTTCCATCTCGTGGTGCCTATGTCGCAGCTTCGTTGAGTGTCAAAGCCCTCGCTTTGGATAGCTGGAGAAGCTATCGTTCTGAGGTCCAGATGTGCCAGATGCTTGCTGCTTGAATGCACCTGATGATCGAGCTCATCCTTTCGCCCCAGCATGGACGAGCTTTGACAATACAGCCGTGGAGTGCAAGACTGCCATGCAGGATCTGCTCACCACGTTCTCAAAACGCCACAGCTGCGTTAGAGATCCTGCATGGCCCATGGTATGTCGTCAGTGTTGTCTTAGGTTTGGTATGGCGCGTTGGAATTTCATTTGCACCTTGCCTAATTAATCTGAGTGCAGACTTGCCCCGCTGACGCCGCACGACCTTCAACGTCGGGCTAGCAAACAGGTACTACATGTCCTTTCAGGGTGCCATCGTCCTGGCGAAGCACAAGCTCAAAGAGGCATGCCAGGTTTCACAGTAGCAACTGGGCAAAGCTAGCAACACTCCCCGCAGGTTCCAGGCATGCGGCCCTCCTCAGAGAGGGTGTCGGCATCTTGGCACCAATCTCGACATGCCATCTGCACAATGCACCGGGTTTCTCACAGACGAATGCTAGCTGCCTGGACGGGCAGTGGGATCCTGATTATGTCGGATCGGTTTCGGTCATCGTAGTCTTGAGAGCTTTCCTTTTCTGTATCATCCCTCATGCCGAGAACGTTCGACCACCCATGTCGAAGAAAGGATATTTGGTACTGGGTCGGCGTATGCTTTGCGAAAGTGACCAGCATTCCCGAAAAAGAAACTCATTTGGCGATGAGTTCGCTCCACATGGATCGTGAAGCAGTCGTCGATTCGTCGACGGTTTTGTGTGGTCTGCCAGTGTCCCAGGTTTGGACAGCAGTTGCATCGCTATTTAGTCCAGAGCATGCCACTTGGCCGTGACAATAAAGACAGGCGGCAGAAGGCTGATCAAGGATTCATCTTTAGCTCAGGTCATGCTGCAGCAGCTACACCCTCTCGACCACATTGAGGACGTGAGCGGCGATGCAGATTCGTGAATCCTCCCTCAGACCCTCCCGTCGCTCTCGCTCTGTCTCTCTCTCTCTCTCTCTCGCTCTCTCTCTCTCTCTGTCGCTCTCTCGCTCACTCTGGTCTCTCGGGGTACCACATAGGAACGTAACAGCTGCCGCAGGGAGGGCTCGAGGTGCTCAGCATAGGATGTCCGCGCAGGACTTGCAGTCGCAGATGACTTGCTGGAAAGTACTTCTGTCTCATGTCGCCGGCTTTGCCGCCATCAATTCGTGGCTCTGCCTTCGCTAGCGCTTTTGTTAGCAATGCATGGTGGCAGGTGCAAAGATAGTTTGGTTTTGCAAGCAAGGTTTGGAACTCTCCAACAAATGGACACGTTTTGCAGCAGCTGGCAGATGAGTGCCTGGATAGTCGATTCTTGGCCGTGTTTGGTTTGGCCGAAGATTCTGCCAGACATGCTGCCAGTGCTTCCTCTGAGCCGAGCGTGACTTGTAGCTGCGTAGGTGATTGCGGCCATCTCGCTTCTCCTGTTGCAGTGGCAGCCTGATTGCAAACTTCATGCTTATAAACGGCTCGGGATGAGATACTCACGAGTGTCTCCAGCCATGCACTGCCTAGAGGATTTCTGCATTGACCGAGCCTTCGAAGGTATTTCGATGAGCAGAGAAGAGTCTTGGCGCAACAGCCGCGAACGTGTCAGCAAAGTATTTCGTGTGTATGGACGAACTTCCATGCACAGGAGGTAGCTTTCCCCATCCAAGCCGCAGGAAGGGTCGCCGAAAACTGGAAAACCTTCTCAAGCTTGTACGACGACCGCATGGAAGATCTTTATCATGAGTGGGGCTCTTACTGAAGCAGATCTGTTCTGAGTTCAAGCTCCTCCACACAGTTTGGAGAAGTGCTGAAAGACATGTTGGGCAAGGTGCTACATCATGTGGCACGAGGAAGCTGAAGAGCCAGAGGACAATGTGCTGGCGTTGACCCTCTCCTTTCTGACCGCCGCTAGCAGCAACAATACACCTGTGCCGTTGTAGCAAGGACAATCGATGCCACATTGTAGCCATTGTCCATTGAATGTGGCTTCCTAGGTCCAGACGGTGCGATTCTGGATATCTGGCTATATGCCCGACGTTGAAGGCATGAGTGACATGCTCACATGTATCATTTCACGCAGACCTAAGCCGCCACATGAGGATGCAAGGAAGCCTGCCGAATCGTATGCAATTGCGTCTCCGTACCGAGAGAGAAACAGTGTATGATACTATGCGATACTTTTCTATGCTATACTATACTGAAGCTATTTTTAAACTATACTTACACTGTACTATACGCGACGACTATACTGTACGTATATATACGCATAGTATTTTGTATTCTTTTGCTATGCTCTTAATCGACCTATGCTGGGCTCTACGCCGCCGTACTGTACTTTACTATACTATACTAATGACAATGCTACACTAGTACTCAAACTAACGCTAGTACTACTACTAGTACTGTACTAGTATTCTCGCTGGACTGATACTACGCTAATGCTGTGCCCATGTTATGCTATACCGTACACGATGCTGCTATATCCTATTCTTTGCTATGTTATACAATTCCTTGCTGCGGCGTACTCTGGCAAGACTGGGCTAGTACTACACAAAATGCTGTGCTGGTGCTGTAGTGCCATACTCATATTATTCGATCACTAAAGCATCACCATACCATCTCGCTGCTGTCATTTTTCTTATCACTGTACTGTCACTATGCTTTGGCTGTACTATACTATACTATGCTACAGGATGTGTCGGATAAGATAAGCGCCTGCAGCAGCTCCCAGGGCTTGATAGCTGGGCGGTGCAAACAACCCGCAGCTTCAGTGACATCGAGACGCTCTTGATGGCTGCTCGGCAATCGTAGAGCAAAGGAGAAGCATAGCATAGCATGGTATAGTCCAAGGCAAAAAGAATTGACGGAACGTTGGATTTGTGTATAACGCCCATTGTGGCCAGATTCTACACAAGTACCCCTGAATTTGTCAGCCGAACAACCAAGGCAGGGGCCTTATTCTGCGCAGGTACCGTCGCCTTGGACCTTTATGCAGGCCCGATGACCCATGCACACGCACAGGCTACGTAGGAAGATAGATCTTCATGCATGATGTGGTGCGCATACTGTACTAAATAAACAGGAAAACAAGTAGATAAACACAAATGTGAATCTTAATATGCATGTGTGTATGCATCTATGTATATTTGTAGTCTGGCATACAATAGACACCGTAGGCACATGCCGGCAGGTATGCATGCCTGTGAGAAAGAGGCGCGATAATTTGAGAAAGAGGAGCGAAGTGCTCGAAAGGACTAGAGAATTTGATAAAAAGGAACGAGCCGCTCGAGAAGGACTAGAGAATTTGAGAAAAGGAGCGAACCGCTCGACTTGGACTAGAGAATCTGAGAAAGAGGCGCGAGCCGATCGAAAATCACGACTAGAGAATCTGACAAAGAGAAGTGAACCTCTCGAATATGATCAGAGATTTTGAGAAAGAGGAGCGATCCGCCCGAAAGGAACAAGAGAATCTGAGAAAGGCGCAAATGATCAGATAATGCGGGAACGGGAGCGAACCACTCGAGAAGGACCCGAGAATCTGAGAAAGAGGAGCGAACCTTTCGAAAAGGAATAGAATATGTGAGTAAGGGGAGTGAACTGCTCGAAAGGAACTAGAGAATCTGAGAACGAGGAGCGAACCGTTCGAAAGGTGAGAAAGAGGAACGAACTGCTCGAAAGGAAGTTAAGAATCTGAGAAAAAAGATCGAACCCCTCCACAGGGACTTAGAGAATCTGAGAAAAAGATTCGAAATGTTC